TTTCGCCTCGAGACTCGCTATGCAAATAATCATTGATTTGTAGTCATGTTTACAAGTGAAAAGAGCCAAGGGATTTGTTTATGTATCAAAATGTCAACTGAAAAATTGCAACGTCGAGTACGCATGTTTTGGTGATAGCAAAACCTTGAACAATGGCCGTGGTTCGGTTTACTGTTCTCAGAGGTCTTAGCTCCGTTTGATTTCATTCGCAACCTTATCGTGACAGATACGATAGGCTAAATACGAAAGGCTTTGTGACGAAAACGTATTTCATATCCCCCAGATGACGAGCAATTCTATGCGCTTCTAACAAGACAGCAATAGGTTCGAAAAGAACTTCTACTCGCCACAGATCAAATTATTCTTCGCTATAATGTGAGTAATACGGTTTCTGTGTATGTTCATCGATTTTTGAGATCTTCATCAATAAACCATGATACTTTCAGTACCACACTATATTCCTATTTAGATAAGTAGGCACCACGATGTCATTTTAGAAGTGAATTGGGAGTTGTGGTCATTTATTTTCTAACACTATATCCGTTCTAAACATTGAATGAACTCGGCGCCGAGCGTATTATTCGAGTAACACGAGTTCGATTAATGGTAGCATTTCGACATACTTCGTATGCCTAAAACAACGAAGTCCTTCGAAACAAGGATTGAATTCGAGCCGTCAGATGTTTATTCGCCGCTATAAGCACCCTTCCAGTAACGTCAGTTCACTTCCAGCAATTTTACTTCACACACTGTACCCATGTCAGGATTCGACTCCGGACTTTCGACGTCACGAGCAAACACTTTAAACACTGTGCTACTCAAATGACACCATAGTGATATAGGTTCTGCCTGAACGGTCAAGTTACATCGAGAGGAGAAATTCGAGTTAAAAAGGTTAAACTATATTCGTACATGGACGACGCTAAAGTCGGTCGTTATAACAAAATACTCAGTGTGCTTCTATAGTCTTAACGAAACAATAGAAATTGGAACCAATTAGTTTCAAAAGTATCTACACCACAAGGAAAGGTTTTGTTTCATTGGAAAAAATACACCAAATTAACTTTCGTGCGCAAAACATTAAGTCTTCCGAAAAACTGCCACAGTTGCCACACACGTGGAAGAGCAATGTCAATGTCACATGGTGTAATGTACAACGCTGATCCTCTCGGTACAGCAGCCTTCCAGTGATACTTCCACTGACGACACGATGCAATGTACACCGTGTCTGTCATGTACATTGCGTGAGGGGCTGTAATCAACATCACCGTGTGTCGCTTTATCGAATTACTTATGCCATCAGTCAAATTGTCCGTAGGACTTCTTCATTTCATAGCTGTGAAATGTAACCCGCCTATTCTCATTCCGCGTGGTCCGGTTCCGTGTGTGAGATTGGACTACCTGGATGAACTCTTTCTATCAAATGTCTTGTTTTGCTTCAGACGGCGGTAGTGGATATTCACCTTTCGTGTTTGTGGTGTGCATTCTGTGGCCGTCAAACCATGTGACAGCTGATAGGTTTTTCGACGACTGTATCTTTTTATCCACCTATGGATTCTGTCACTTGTGTAGATTGTTACAACTTACTGCAGTGAAAGGCCATTGGGGTTTTGCTGTTTGATATAGTTTTTAGGTTTATGGCTTGATGTATCCGTTCTGTGGAACAGCTGACTATTGATCTTTGGTTGAAATGCAAATAACACTTTCCCCACTGCCACAGTAAGTTACACGCAGTCTCGCTGACATGGACACAGTAGCTCTGATCGTTGTTGATACGTTCCGTGCATATTGTGCTTTTGTTATTTCACTTCATGCGTTTATATGTCGTTCTAAATGACACCTCGATAATACGACCCCGTTTAGTGAGGAAACCTGCTAAATTGACGAATACTGTTTCCAGCGTCTGTAGCAATCATTTGACAATCAGGGAACCCTGGTTTACTGACACTGTGAATAAGGGAACCCTGGTATACTGGCACTGTGAATAAGGACACCCTGGTTTACTGACACTGTGAATAAGGGAACCCTGGTATACTGAAACTGTGAATATGGGAACCCTGGTTTACTGACACTGTGAATAAAGACACCCTGGTTTACTGACACTGTGAATAAGGACACCCTGGTTTACTGACACTGTGAATAAGGACACCCTTGTTTACTGACACTGTGAATAAGGACACCCTGGTTTACTGATACTGTGAATAAGGGCACCTTGGTTTATTGACACTGTGAATAAGGACACCCTGGTTTACTGACACTGTGAATAAGGACACCCTGGTTTACTGACACTGTGAATAAGGGAACCCTGGTATACTGACACTGTGAATAAGGACACCCTTGATTACTGACACTGTGAATAAGGACACCCTGGTATACTGACACTGTGAATAAGGGAACCCTGGTATACTGACACTGTGAATAAGGGAACCCTGGTATACTGGCACTGTGAATAAGGAGACCCTGGTTTACTGACACTGTGAATAAGGGAACCCTTGTATACTGACACTGTGAATAAGGGAACCCTGGTTTACTGACACTGTGAATAAGGAACCCTGGTTTACTGACACTGTGAATAAGGACACCCTGGTTTACTGACACTATGAATAAGGACACCCTGGTTTACTGACACTGTGAATAAGGACACCCTGGTTTACTGACACTGTGAATAAGGACACCCTGGTTTACTGACACTGTGAATAAGGACACCCTGGTTTACTGACACTATGAATAAGGACACCCTGGTTTACTGACACTATGAATAAGGACACCCTGGTTTACTGATACTGTGAATAAGGACACCCTGGTTTACTGACACTGTGAATAAGGACACCCTGGTTTACTGATACTGTGAATAAGGGCACCTTGGTTTACTGACACTGTGAATAAGGAGACCCTGGTTTACTGACACTGTGAATAAGGGAACCCTGGTATACTGACACTGTGAATAAGGACACCCTTGATTACTGACACTGTGAATAAGGACACCCTGGTATACTGACACTGTGAATAAGGGAACCCTGGTATACTGACACTGTGAATAAGGGAACCCTGGTATACTGGCACTGTGAATAAGGAGACCCTGGTTTACTGACACTGTGAATAAGGGAACCCTGGTTTACTGACACTGTGAATAAGGACACCCTTGTTTACTGACACTGTGAATAAGGGAACCCTGGTATACTGACACTGTGAATAAGGGAACCCTTGTTTACTGACACTGTGAATAAGGGAACCCTGGTTTACTGACACTGTGAATAAGGACACCCTGGTTTACTGACACTATGAATAAGGACACCCTGGTTTACTGACACTATGAATAAGGGAACCCTGGTATACTGACACTGTGAATAAGGGAACCCTGGTTTACTGACACTGTGAATAAGGAACCCTGGTTTACTGACACTATGAATAAGGACACCCTGGTTTACTGACACTATGAATAAGGGAACCCTGGTTTACTGACACTGTGAATAAGGGAACCCTGGTTTACTGACACTGTGAATAAGGGAACCCTGGTTTACTGACACTGTGAATAAGGACACCCTGGTTTACTGACACTGTGAATAAGGACACCCTAACACATGTAATTTTCCAAGGAGAATATTGTAATGTTAACTCTGGTGTCGATAACATGGTTACATATATATAGTATGTGAATATACTCATGCCAATAATGGTTGTCACCCCCCCCCACCCCAACCCAACACACACCACACACCCACACCCCACATACCCTCTCCAATAAAACAAATTGAAGGGGGTGACAACCATTATTGGCATGAGTATATATATTACTCCCACGTTTCTTTTCCTCACAGAATACAACTTTCTAACTCCTACTGACATATAAACTATCTACGTACTGTTAGACTGAATGTCATCGTCATAAATGTTAAATGTCAAAGAGTTTCTCAAAACTATCCGCAAACTATTGTCTTATGCAATCCAAATATCAAAACTAGATTATTGCACGATGTATATTCAGTAAATCATACGACATCAAGCTCCCTCTTGAAAGGATCCGGAAATTACAATCTAATGCAATTCAAATCGCAGAAATATATAACTGCACGATATATGGTAAATGAAGAGACATGAAACCACTTTCGGGAAGATCCGCAATTAACTAAGTGACGCAATTCAATCAAACGGTCAAACATTTTTATAGCATCCCGTATAACAAACGACATCGGCATTCATAACCAAATAAAGCAATCATTGATTTTCCAGAAAATCTCAAATCGCCCCCAAAAACCAATTCGCGTGCCGGGGAAGTTTACATTAGCTACGTAACTCGAGGATGGATCTACCCGCATCTATCTTCCAGGGCGAATTACCGTTTGTCATGCTATTTCTAATCTACCCTGCTTCACGTGTAATGGGGATAAAAGTGACACAGCTTGGATGCGCGTCGTCACGAGATGAACTCAATCGATCCCCGAGCACTGGACGTGATTGGGTCATCGATCTCACTTGACACCTGCGTGGCTTCTGTAACGCCGAGTATTAACAGGTGTATGGCCAGGTACAACTGACGCCCTTCACGGTACTCGACTAGCAATGCAGGACTGACCCGGATAAATTACACATTTTAAAACTTAATAAGATTTTAATTGAGCTGAAACTATTTGTTTTAGTATTTATAAGCCTGCTGGTAGCGTCTGGGTGTTGGGAGGAGGCGTGATTTAATTCAATTTTAAAGGTTGGGTGAAACTGGCTTTTATTGATTAGATTAAATTGATTTAGCTATGGGGGGAAAGAATGGTGTTTGAAATAAAGGCTAATTTGTTAAAGTTTTCAACTGAAACCTAATGAAACACCTAATTTGTGTTTATAATTCGGTTACAAGAATCACACGAGACATCACGCTTATTTATTTTTAACAAATCTATTTAGTTAAGTTTTCAGTGATGGTATTTAGAGCACAGAAAAGTTAGATGGCATATACATGGCTAAACACACACCTGGCTCTCACACCTGAGATAAAGCAAAATTCTCACCTCTAGGTTTTCCTGTTCACGTTGTTTGTATTGTTCCGCCAGCTGCATCTTAAACAACAGAAGCTCGTGCTTGTTGATGTCTTTGGGCAAAGTGTTGCTGCTGCTGTTGGTGACGTCCTCATCCTCCACCTGGACGGCCTTGTAGCTACTGAATCCCCCGTCACGCTCCGTGGGGTAGTCCGGACCCGACGTCCGGGGGAGGTCTTCCAGCGTTACGTCAGAATCCGACTTCTTCTGTCTATCCCTACGCCGTATCCTCAGCAGAACAGTTAAGACAATGGCGGCGATTATGACAGTGAGACACAATAGGGTGATGACAATCAGCGCATTCTGACCGGGGGACACGCCTGACATCAACGCCGTGCTGTTTCCGACAAACACGGTAATTTCTAAAATCCTCTCACCCGAGGACCGAGGTGGGGTGCCTTCGTCCGTCGCGGAAACAAACACAACATATGTTCCCACATTTTCCTCACGTAAATGTTTGTTCACAAAGATAATCCCTGACGAACCGTCAATAGAAAACAGAAAGGACTTCTGGGGAGAGTCATGTCTCATAGAGAACTGGAGATGAGCGTTTAAGCCCGAATCACGGTCCTCCCCCTTCACAGCCGCTATCTGGGTACCCGGTGGATCTTGGAAAGGTATTTTAGATGTCATGTTGACTTCGTTGGGGAAAGTAATGACGGGCGTATTATCGTTAACGTCGGTGATTTCTACTATCACCCTAACCCTGTTTGCTAAAGATGGGTACCCGTGGTCACTCGCTTCCACGTCGAAACTGTACTCATCCCTCTGCTCTCGGTCGAAAACGTCATTGGACAGCAAGATCCCCGTGCTGGTCAAGATGAAAGGCACATACTGACCAATGTCCACTATAGAATACGTCACAAACCCTCCCCCATCTAAATCAGTATCGTACGCGCGTATCTGCCCTACATGCGTATCTATGGGTTTATTTTCAAGAATTTTAAACAAATAAACGGCTTCTCGGAATTCAGGTTCATTGTCGTTTTCGTCCAGAATGAAAATAGTCAAAGAAACGTTGGATGACATTGGAGGGTCGCCATGGTCAAACGCAATAACTGTAATGTTCAGCCTGTCGAACACCTCCCTGTCCAGCTTGTCCACCGCCGTGACCACACCACTGTCAGAGTTGATGTTGATGAAGTTGGTAATACGAGGATAAGCAGAGGTAATGACGTAGGTAATCCGGCTGTTATCGCCGGCGTCCCTGTCCACAGCTTTCACCTTTGTGATGACCTTCCCAATGGCGTTGTTTTCAGTTATGTTTGCCACGTAGTGTTGTTGTTTGAATGTTGGTGGGTAGTCATTAATGTCGACCAGATCGACCGTAAAGCTAGCAGTGGTTCTTAACGCTGGCCGACCACCGTCTTGACACAAGATGGTCAAATTGTACTGAGGTGATGTCTCCCTGTCCAGTACTCCGGACACGACAACCTTGTATTCGTTGACTTTCAGACTCTGTAACTGGAACCGGTCACTCATAACAGAACAATTCACTTGACCATTAGTTCCGGAATCTTCATCGGACACCACCATATGCGCAACCGCGAACCCTAAAGACGAATGTTCCATGACCTCGGCAGACGTTACGCCGTTCAGTATATTCAGCTGAATATATGGCGGATTGTTCACAGTGTCAAGAACATTAATAAACACAATGGACGGGGTCACAAAGGGATCTGAACCACCGTCGTACGCCTGGACTACCAAACGTACGGTCTTACCTTGCTGAGAGGATAACGGTTTTCTGGGAGTTATCTCCCCTGTTAATCGATTGATTTTGAACAGTTCTCTGTTAATGGCCGACTGTTGTGGACTCAACATGTAAAACACCTTGCCATTATGACCACTGTCTCGGTCCGTGGCATGGACTGTCAGGATGGTGGAGGTATTCGGTAGTGCCTCGCTAATGTTAGCATGATAATCATCGTGGGAAAACACTGGTGGATTGTCATTCTCGTCACTTATACTGATGTTAACTAACAGCTCCCCCACATTAGGTGGCCTGCCGCCATCTCTTGCCTGGACCCTCAGCTGGTAGAAGTCCCGAGTTTCACTGTCCAGGGGAGAATTGACGACTATTCGTAGGACGTCCCTCCCAGCTACGTTTTTGGTCACACTTAAAGCAAATGTCCCATTACTTGGGAAGATGGCATACGCCTGAACAGAATGGTTCTCACCTCCGTCCGAGTCCTCAGCGGAATCTATGGTATAGGACGATCCGACAGACACTGACTCCAGTATCTCCAACTTGATTGCCGGATGGGGAAACTCCGGGATTTCGTCGTTGATATCCTCAAGGAGTATATTAACCAAAATTGTCCTGAAAAACGGTCCCGATTGTAGTGCTATATATATGCTGAATTTACAAATCCGTTTGAATTCACAAATTGTAATATTTTCCCTGTCGAGGACTGATGCTGTTGATAACACACCCGACCGGTTGTCGATCAAGAAATAAAAATTGGGGGTCTCTCCTGGGCGTAATATCCGATAGCGAACAGAAGCAAGGTCTTCTCCTGCAATGGCTGAAGAAACGTTGGAGTCCTTTGCAACGTTTCCGACGAAGGTACCCGGGGGTTGTTCTTCCTCCACAGTATAGTTGAGCACATCCCCCTGTGCCTCACCCCCCACGACCGCACAGACCACGATACACAACGCCGTCACACACAGCATCGTTCTGATATACGCTATTAAACTACTAACAGCAAAGACGCGCGAAGTTCCATTGACAGTCAACTCCGCGCTGAAGTCCTGAGTGAATACTCCAACTTCCTCAGTGAAGACATGTTAAAACAAAAACGTCCTGGTCGATGAAGACGTATCACGGGGGAGTAGTGTTACGTCCCTGAGCATGTCCCGTTGTCAAAGTCAACGCCTTGTCGTAATGCAAATCCACGAATAAACGTATTTGCCTCGCTTTGTGGCAAGTTGAGAGTCGATCTGGTTATATTGAATGCGTGTATTTCAATTCAATATGTACCCCTATCAATAGCTGGCTTTTTTCACTTCTGTGAATACCAGATTCTCCTCGTTCACAGACCGGGTCCTTTCACCAAAGGCAATATTACATGAATGTATGTATTATCTGTTCCACATAAAACTCGCATACACATACAGACAATTGAGGCGTCACACGTTAACTACACATAGATCCTCTCTCGGGTCATAGGCACATTCATAAAGTCGACACGCACAAATCGTTCTGTATGCTCTTCACTGGCTGGGGAAAAGATGTCCTGTGTTGTCATGTGAGAATATCCCACTAGTATAAACAGTCGGAAAGCAGAGCCATAACTGTCAAACTTTCACCGATATCCAATTTTCACAAGTGTTTGGAAAACTGCTTCGTGCAGGCTCTTCTTGCATAAATGGACTGTCCGTGCTTGAACCACTTGTTTCTTAAAAGTGAAGAAATTCCAACTCCCGAGTGATATGTCTAACAGTTTAACGTAACATGCACTGGCCCCTTCCTCGAGACGTGCTCAAGCCACGCGATACATCGCGCTGTGACAAACCCTCGAGCTAACTCCCGCCTCCCCGGCTTATTGCGTTGACTCAGTCTCCGCACAGGGTAGAGGTCGATACGGGGACGTGGTGCGGAGCTTCCACAAACTCCACGCACTGTAGCGAGAAGACAATCGACACTGAAATCGCTTGACGACTCGTGTCAGAGGCTGGTAGCAGGCTTCGCGGTGGTTACTTAATCCGTCTTCATTTCATAACGAGATTTAGTTATCTGTCGGAATTTGTTTTTACCTTCACAGAATCATGCTTGTTTTCGTGTCACGTTAAAGCCACTTGACACTCGACTCTCGACTCTGACACACTATACAGATGTTCTGTAAGTTGCTCCAACAAGTATATCACACCAAATGCACGTTACTTTTCAATAATTGGAAAGACTAATATATATGGACGAATTTATAACGTTCCTACATCACGTGAGTCATTATTTAATGGTGTTCCGTTCCCTTGAGGTGAGTGTTTCAAAAGAAAGTCAAATCAGATCAAATCATTTAAATCTGCAGATAGCGTGTTTCTGTGTCGGGATAAGTCTGCTCGCTTGTCTTGCGTCTTCATAGAGAGACGACAGCAGCGAGCGGCTCGCGTACAGTGCTACAGTCGGTCCCTTCGCTTTGCTGATCAAACAGCTTCAGTTGAATATCATGGAAACTTTCAGTCTCGTGTTAGCCTCTCCACCTCGCCTGAAAAAGATCAAAGTTTGTGTCAGTGTTTGCAGAAATGATTAACTCTGCTTAATGAAGGACGCTCCACCCGTGACATTCCCCTTGACTTAATGATGTTTGTCTTTCGCCAAATCCCAGTGCATAAATATTAGATGTTCAATACTCGTGTGTAGTGGAGCTATTTTTCAACATTTCCATCCCATCCAGTTCTCCGAATACACTTACCTCCACGTCAAGGTACTCCAGGGAATTAATTGGGGGGATTATCCCGTTCGTCTACGATGTATTTATGTAATCATGTAATCCCATCTCAGCCCCTCCCCTCTCGCTTCAGCCGGCCAATGGTCAGTCTGGCGACTCTATTAGCTGTCCAGCATCAGAACGGCTGTTTACATTAGCTACACGGGATGCATTAATTGACGGCTCGGGAGGGATTAGGTTGAGTGGGTAGGGAAATCCTCAAGGAATGTATCCCGTGGGTCGGGACAGATCACGCTCCGGGATGCTGTGTAAATCCAGGATAATCCGGGCTGTGTCACCGATCCGAGTTAAAAGTATATCAGTATATCAGCTACCTCTACAATATGTACCTGTAATTAGCGCCTTTGATGTTACCTGTGAAAATTATCACGTATTGTTGAGGAATATGGACAGGGGGCTCCCTGCTGGAATTTGACGAGTTTGGTGCCAGTCTGGCAGAGTTTGGTAGGTTAGCTGAGTAAATAATACTTTGTGTTAAGCGTTTCTAACGGTTTATTTTGAGAAAAGGACCTAATTAGGAAGGCTATACCAAACAGTTTTGTTATTTCATTTGACACATAACAATGAATACATATATGCATGAGTTATATGCATTTGAACATAAGATACAGAAAAAGACTTTATTGCAGTTACATGTACTGAAGTCGGCTCTAGCATAGTGCCTAATAAAAAATAAAGTCAAGCACAAGGACATGACACGATTGACATAATGTGTGTGTGCGTGCGCGCGCGCGTGTGTGTGTGTAAGAACGCACGCAATTTTCCCTCGTCTCAGTTTCCCAGTTTGACTTTTGTCAATGTTTTCAGTATAAACATTTAGTGGCCCACCTTTGACCAGTGAGAGTAAAGGGGCAAGGTTATAACTTATGTATTTATAACGTATGATGCAAGGTGACACGTATGTCTGCCTCCTACCAATATCACTGTCCTTCAACATAATGCCTCCACTCATGTTTATGTAGTGTTAACACTGATACTGAGATGAACACTGTTTCTAACCTTTAAACAACACAAAACACTCTCTTCAGTACAATTTCACGTGGAAAGAAAGACGAACATAGTTTCGGAATTATAACCATGGGCATTGCAACTTCATAGGAATGTCATATATTCATGTGGCTAATGTCATTATCACTAATGTCATACAATATTCAAGCTATGCATGAGACATCGCTGAATACAGGATTGTCCACGATAGTCATATCTTGTGTTCTTACTGTCTGACGTGGAGAGGCGTCAGAATAAGAGTAAGCTCTAGTACAACCCATTCTCTATTCACGCAGTGGGCAGTGGGGTAGCCTAGTGGTTAATGCGTTCGGTTGTCACGCTGAAGACCCGGGTTTGATTCCCCATGTAGGTACAATGTGTGAAGCCCATTTCTGGTGTCCCCCGACGTGATATTGCTGGAATATTGCTAAAAGCGGCGTAAAACTAAACTCACCCACTTACTCTATTCACGCAGTCCACATTACCAATGACAAACGATTGAGAAAGTGGGTGAGTGAGGTTTTGTTGACGCCATAGACAGTAATGTTTCAGCCTCATCACAACCAAATAATTCAGTGTGCACGGACCCCCCAGTGACCGATAGCATGAACAACGATAGTGACCACATTGCAGGGTACGATAAAGTTGAACAAGTCACAGATACCGACCACCAGATCATGAAAGCAGTTCTTTCAAGAATCTTTCAAGAAAGAATACTTGGGATATAAGCTCGGCCGAATTCCCATCACCATTGTGGCACGTGGCCCAGTGTACAATATACGTCACAAACCCGGCGCAGATAAGTAACACTGGTGGCGGAGGGTAGGTGGCAGGATGACCATTGTTCCTTGACCCAGTTGGAGAGTTTCCAGAACATCAGCCCTGTTCAAAACACGTACTTCGTTTGAAGTGTGCCTCTGTTCACCGAGCTACGAACGGGTACCCGGTAGGATGATATGGTCATGTGACCTCCTGGCGCCTCATATGCAGCTTTGGTTGTTCCAGCAGGAGTACACTGATTTAAAGAAGGGGGGGAGGGAATAATACTGTGTAGCGCTGCTGAGCTCTCGTCCAGTCTGGAAGCCATACTAAAATGCATCACTTATGAGGGCTATTCATTAAAATTTGAACAGAGCTTTTGTGTCAAAACCTTTGTGCGGGTCAAACATGCCATACCTTTCTAATTAATTCATTTTTTCCAAAATCAATTAAAGAAGTAGTTGTGCGGGTAGGGAGTCTACAGACACATTCTAACCACGAATATTTCTCTTGTACCGGTGTACTGGGACAGATGATGGTGGTGGGGGCTAGTCACGTGATATTTGTAGGCTAATCAGAATAATGACATATTTGCTTTTCCAATCTTTACAATATCTCCACTTTTAGAGGCTAAACACTAATATGTCATTTCTTGTAGACAATCTAGATCAGGTTTCGTCCTTACACAACACCAGCTCCCAGCGATCAGCTGTTGGCTGGAAGGAATATCATATTCTTCTATGTACAAGTTTTTGTTTCAACACACCGACATATGTTCGTTACAACGTAACATTAGATTAATCTGGGACTCTATACGACTGCCGAGTTTCCCCGATATAAGGCGCACTCCACACCTGATGTTATCGATTATGTCCCGTGATTGACTCATGTCAGTTACATCATTGTTTTGACCGATATGGAGAATGGAGTCAGTTTCTGGTTCTGATATTCGAGATTCTCTGTTATTGACGTTTCAATTCGTTGTGTTATACCATGAGGTATCAAATTCATGTATTACACGGTAAAATTTACTGAATAACGTGTTGAGAACAAATTCACTTGAACCCTTAAATCGATCTGACCATATGCCGTCTATAAAGTCTCACCCAAACACTCAACATCCCAAACCGTTCCGTTTGATCTCGCCCTTTGCACGTGAAACACACATTAAATATTCAAATACGTGATTTCAAATCTCTAGAGTTAGACACAGACATTACAAATTGTCCATCTTAGCGGTCAAGCATACCGTGTAACTCCCCAAGAGCTATATCAGAAGGTTTGGTTTACAAGTTGACCCATGTCTACCGTTTGAACCTGACGGTGGCACCGCACGAGCGTTACCATGGGGACGGTGCGATGTGTATGAAAATAAGAATTCCTTATATCAAAGAATGGTGGCAAGTTCGGCACTTCGGATTCTTAAGAAACGAAAGCCTGAGGTCAGATTGAATTACTTTCGTTTTTCCGTCACTGGAAGCAAACAGTATAATGACAAATATTTATGGCTTCTTTCCGATAATGATTAATGATTTCTCTGAAGCAATGCGTAAGTTGTACTGGCAACAACATCCAGCTCCAACATCTGAGGATGCTGCACGACATTGTACGTTTCTATGAATATTTGATACATCTTGTTGTGTATTTTACTGATTGAGACAGAAAAAATCGATAATGTTAAACACAAACAGTTAGTCTTTACGGCAACAAAAGGAATTCGCAAATATTCTTTTTATCTTCGATTGATTTTTATACAAAGGAGACCTTTGAACCCTGAACCACTTGTGATTTATCCCCTCTGTACTTGTAGGGAATGAAGCTTTGATATCAATGTTTAATGCGCTAAAGTGTTTGCGCTCATTTCGTAAGAATTAAGTCGTGTTCATAAGGAATTTTTTAAAGTGCATCTTTTAGATTGAAACATAAAAGAGCTCTCGAATGAGTTCAAGTGTATTTTCTGAAAGAAATGTTTCCAATTAGCTGCGGCGATGATGTGATTGTTTCTTCTGCAAGCAACAATTTTACATGCAACAGATGCTGCACAGTGTTAACCTTGTCCAAGGACTATCGAGAAGACCGTGAAGATACACTCAGTTCAGATATGGCAGTCATTCCTTGGAGGCTTCTGGACAGTTGGAATTCAGATCTGATCCATAGTTTCAGATAAATGGAACACTGGTACTGTTGTTGGCTACGATACAACCGTATGTGTGAAAACAAGTGTGAATGATTGTTAATGAGATCATGCATACTTGCCACAGCTTCCACACCCACCTACCCCCACACTTACACCCACACCCACCCCTCAACCCACCTCGACACTGCACAATGGCATCGAAATACTTGTCTGGTACAAAGAAATGCA